CACTCAACCCCGACAAATGCGCTTTCTTCGTCAAATCTGGAGTACTCCTCGGCCACGTTGTCTGCAAAGATGGCATTCTCATCGACAAGGACAAAGTTGACATCATCTCCAAACTTGAACTGCCGAAGAACCAGAAAGAACTTCGGCGCTTCCTCGGCAAAGTCGGATATCACCGACGATTCATCCACAAGTATGCTCACATTGCCAAACCACTCACCGATGGACTAAAACAAGATGCCCAATGGACATGGACGTCCGAACAGCAACAAGCATTCGACAATCTCCGACTCAAACTAACAACAGCACCGATCCTTGCCAAGCCCGACTGGACACAAGAGTTCCACATTCATGTCGACACTTCCGACGTCGCCACTGGTGCAATTCTGAGCCAAACTCAACACGACAACCGAGATCAACCGATCTACTACGCCAGCCGACTACTCAACCCAGCTGAACGAAATTACACCACTACCGAGAAAGAAGCTCTCGGCATGATCTACTCACTTCAGAAGTTTCGACACTACATACTGTCAACCAAAGTCGTAATTTTTGTCGACCACAAGGCACTCCTTTACCTCATCAACAAGCCGATATTATCTGGTCGAATATCAAAATGGTTCCTTTTACTACAAGAATACAACTTTGAGATCGTCCACAAACCCGGCAAAAATCACGAGCAAGCAGATTATCTCAGCCGGATCACCACCGGCGATAAACCCGAAAGACTTACCGATGACTTACCCGACTCAAACCTATTCCGAGTTTCAATACCAGCAACCTGGCTCGACGACGTCTTCAGTTACCTGCACTCAGCAAAAGTTCCAGATCAGTACACTATGTCCGACCAAAAGAAGACTTTTGTTGCTAAAACCCGACGATACTCAGTCATCGGAGGCACTCTCTACAAACTAGGAATTGACAACATTCTTCGCCGATGCATCAAGCCGCCAACCACAACTCAAATCATCAAGGAAGCTCATGATGGACCTTCCAGCGGACACTTCGCCGCTGACACCACAACTCGGAAGATTCTTCAAGCCGGCCTCTGGTGGCTGACACTCTGGCATGACACTGAAGAATTCTGCAAACGCTGCGACACATGTCAAAGACACCGACTACCACCAAAAACTCAGACTCAACAACTCAACCCAACATTCCCAATGGCACCATTTCAGAAATGGGGACTTGACTTCATCGGACCCCAAGTCAGCACCCATCGACGAAATCAGTACATCATTGTCGCCACCGATTACACTACCAAGTGGGCCGAAGCAATACCTCTCCGACATGCCACAGCGAAAGCAACAGCAACCTTCATCTACGAAAATATCATCACTCGTTTCAGCACACCACTCGAACTCGTCACCGACAGAGGCACCCACTTCATCAATCAAACAATCGAACATCTCGCCACCGAGTTCAAAATCCGACACAAAACGTCGACACCATACTATCCTCAAGGCAACGGTCAAGCAGAAGCAACAAACAAAACACTAAAGACCATCCTCAAAAAAAGTCATCAACGATTCCGGCAAAGACTGGGACGACAAACTTCTTGACGTACTTTGGGCCTATCGCACTGCGTATAAAGTCACCACTGACATGACGCCATTCAAACTCGCCTTTGGAACAGAAGCCATCACACCAATTGAATTCATCATCCCAAGCATGTGAATCACCGTCAAGTATAATCTCGACACCCGACATGCAGTTCGAGAAAGGCTTCAGCAACTAGAACATCTCGACGAACTCCGACTCAATGCCCTCTGGACACTTCATGCCATCCAAAAACAAAGAAAAGCTCGGCACGATCGACAAGCATCCCAGCATAACATTCCCAAATACAGCGTCGACGACCATGTTCTCTGGTACCGAGGACCCATCGGCAAACTTGGCCGAATACTCCACACCAACTGGCAAGGACCTTTCAAAATCATTGAACTATACCCCAACGGCACCGCCAAAGTCAGCACACTCGCCGAAGACTTCACTAAGATCGTCAACCTCAACAAGCTTCGACCATATCACGTCAACATATTCAACATCAGCACCTCAACAAATTTCAGACCCAAACCGACAAACACCCCAAAACCAACAATCAACACTCACCCCAATAGACAAACTTTAACTCAAATCAGTTCGACACAACTCAACTCAACTCAACACGAACTCATCCACCAACTTCAGCAACAAACAGCAGCAAAAATCTGTAAGTCCCAAGCTACCGTTGGATCAACGCCACCTGAGCAAATATCAACAGTTGAACTTGAGTTAACTTCATGACCAATATCCACCATTGATTTGCAATCAAGCCAAATCAAACCACATCAATTCCGTCAACAAATCTCGACCGTTCATCACCAGCAATCGAGCGCCGCACGATCAGCCAACCAACAGTTACAGGTTTCAAGAACCCTAACGAGGCGAGCACTTCGATCGCAGAAAATGAAGAGAAAGATGCCAGCTCATCCACCCCAACGCCTCAGATACGTCATACACCATATTCCTAGGCTTCCCAGCAACGACACAACCACCTGGCTCAAGGACCATGGATTCGAGCTCCTCCACAAGGCCTTTTCAACACACCCTGATCAAAAACTAGCGAGGAAACTGGCAGCCTCCTTCAACCCCAAGAACAACACCATAACCGATGGCACCAACGAGATCACCCTCAGCCCAGCAAGAATCGCTTCTGTTTTCAAAATCTCCAACAAGGGACTGCTCAAATTTTCAGGAGAAGTTCCACAGCAAATCATCAAGGCCAATCGAGAAATTACCGGTGAGCTCACATGGGAGGACATCGAGGAGCAGCATATGGATCGACTCAAAGCCCTCCTCCTCTACTACAAACTTCGCCCAACAGATCGCACCATCGGCAAGCGCACAGCAGAAGTCTACGGAGCTCTACTCGACGGCAAACGTGTGAACGTGGCTCATCATCTCCACGAGCTCCCTCTCAAGCTTCTTGACTGCGCCATCCTCACCACACTCAACAAGAAGACCATGCGCACAGTAATCTTCCCACTGCTGATCGCTCTACACGAAGCTCTTCCCAACAAGCAACCGTGGACAACCCAAACGAACTCCACAGAACAAAGTGACAGCTCCGAAGAACACTCAGAATCAGAAGGAGCAACTCCCAGCAAGAAACCAAAGCCAGCATCTCAACAATCAGGCTCAACTCACTCCAACAACACTAGCTCCAGCAACAAACACTCCAACAATTCAACTCCACTTCGCCGCCGCTTCACACGCAAAACACCAGTGAATCCAGCTCCCAAACCCTTGATCCGAGAGCACCTCATCATCAGTGACAAGGAACACAACTCACACCACCATCAACAATCACCCCAGAGCCCGCATCCACTCGAATCAGCCCCAAAACCGACAACTTCTCACAAACACATCAACATCGCCAAAGAAAAACGTCAGCTGATCGCCCAAAACTCAATTTCTACACCAGCTGAGAACAACATTCTCAACACCCCGACCTCCTTGACACGTTCCACAAAAGAAAACATTGACTACCTTCGCCAATCACTTGAAGAACACGCAACCATGTCTCCTCCAGCAAATACCACGACCAGCATTCACAAAAATTCCGCCCCTTCAACAAAATTCCAAGCGAAAAATTTTTCAACGGATAAATTAATTTCAGTGCCACATCTGGGCCGTTCATCCACCATCAAACTGAAAAGCTCATCTCCAACCACCTCAAAGAATCTGGCCCAACCACGTCACCCACATCCAACGAAGCATATTCAGCCTCCAGCAACTTCAACTCCCGGGACCAAGAACAGAGCGAACCCTAGCGAGAAACACCAGGATCACCGAGCAGGAGCAGGAGCAGCAACCATGCCTCAGCCACAGAGTCAGGTACGCCGTGATTATGACGAGATCAGGAAGGAGTACGAAGATAAACTTCGCGACCCAAGCTACTGCACCCGCAAGTTGTTTGAAGCCCTGGATCAACGCATGCACCGCGAGCAAGCAAACTACTTCCCAACACCAGCCGACATTGCACAGCATCTTCTCAATCAAGACTCCTTCATATACACCCGGGGAGCGATCAAGAAGGAATTTTATGAGCCTTTAAACCACCGGCTGGATACTCAGATTGAAGAGATGAAGCAGATCCGCACTGACCTCCGGGACATCAGGAAGATCGTCTCTAAGCAGCCATCAACCCCATCAGCAGCTCACGAATTCACCTACAAATTCAAATACGAAGAGCTCAACACCCGCTACCGGAAACTCGAGGATGATCATACCGCCCTGCTGGCTGAGGTAGCCGACCTCCAGGAAGATGGGACAGATCCACCAGACAGTGTCCCTAACCACGAGCTTACACTCCCACAGCAAAAACGTCGCCTCTATCGACTTGAACAGCAGCAGCAACAAGCGATGGAAACTGACTATGTTCGCACCGAGGACGGTGTCTAGTTTTGTCAGGGGAGCAGAATGTAGCAACCAAAAACCCAGGTTCAGGGGACTCCGACTTTGAACCCAGGGCTGCATCGGAGCCATAGATTAAATCATGCACAGCATATAGTATATGCTAGCAGTTAGAACCGCTAGCCTTTCAAAAGGGGGAATCCGAATTGTGAATCCCTATCTCCATTCCATTGTTTTTCTTATCAATACACAGCATTCTTTTACTCGTGCTTCTTCTCTGCCCTTGGAGATCGGGACCTTCTCTCTTTTGTTTTCTTACAAACAATAGATTTCCAGCGAAGAAGAGTTTTCACACCTCTTCAGTTGCTCTGCTCCAGGGATTGTCGAGCTCTTCGAAGTCTGGGTTTAGCACAAGCATGATAAACACGATCAGCTCGAGAGCCATGGAGTTTCTGTGTTCTACTGGGGGAGATGTTTCGACCACGGACGATTTAGGTGTTGCCACAGCACTGGTGAAATGCTTTGGAAGTCACAGGAGAATCAATGAAACTGAGGTGTTTGAGAGATTTTGACACTATAGGTTCGACTTGGTGCTCTGGAACGCCATGGTATGGGCTTATGCCGATCCCGAAGAAGCTCTGTTCGTGCTGAAAATGATGGATCTGGAAGGTGATAAGGATGATACGTTCACGTTCGCGACTGTTTTAACTGCGTGTGCTACCAGTTGCGAGCATGCATTGCTACAAACGAACTTTCTTCACGATCGAGCGACCAGTTTGGGGCTTGGATCCGATCCAGTTGTGGTAGCAGCAGTTATCAACTCGTACTCCAAGTCCCAGAGGCTCGGGCTTGCAAGGAGCACTTTCGAAGGACTTGCGACGGACAAACGAGATGCAGTGGTACGCACGATCAGGTCACATCCAAGGCGCTCTGGAGATCTTCTCCAAGATGGATCATCCGGACAAGATCACAATCGCGCAGGTGCTGGATGCCTACACGGATCTGGCATGCCTCAGCCAGTGCAAGGCCGCTCATCGCGATTTCATGTCGCCAAACCAAGAGCTCGAGTCGGAGAAAATGGTGGCCAACGCTCTTGTAAACATGTACGCGAAGTGTGGAAGCCTGGAAGAGGCCAGGAGAGTTTTCGACAGGATGAGCTTGCAGTTCAGGAACATCGTCTCGTCATGATCTCGGCTTACGCCCAGCACGCCCGGAGCTCCGAGTCGATGGAGCTGTTCCAGAGGATGCAGCAGCAAGGAGTGGAGCCGAATCAAGTGACTTTCATCAGTATCTTGAGCTCTTGCAGCCACTCGGGCTTGATCGATCAAGCAGCGTACTGTTTCTACAGCATGGAGCAAGATCAGAGCTTGCTGGCGTCCCAGAGTCATCTGGTTCATATGGTTGATCTTCTCGGACGAGCTGGGATGCTCATGTTGAGGTATACGCTCTCTATGACATGATCCTAGGTGGCAGGAGTGTCACTTCATTGATCCAGGTGTAGGCTAAAGGTGTGTCTCTTCATCATGTATATATATCTATGATATGATATACAACTATCCTTTGAGTCATCCACCATTGTAGCTTCTGCTCTTCTTCTCTTCATGGTATCATGGTATCGGAGCCCTGAGGGCTTCAGATCCAGGGACGATGGTGCTGGCCGAGGAAGAGGCTAGCGAGGATGACGATGAGCCACTGGACGTGGCTGAGAGGTGTCAAGATTTGGCACTGTGCTGTACTGAGTGCCAAGATAACGGCACTAGCGAGCTGAGCAAGGCGCTAAGGCGTGATCAAGCAGAGACCAGCCCAGAGGCGCTGTGGCGCGAGGCACTGGCCGAGCAGAGGTGAGCGCTGGGCACCCTGTAGGGTAGAGGCGCGAGACACCAAGGGCTGCAAGCAGAGGTGCGAAGGGATTGGAGTGCTGGGGCGCTGGTGGACTGGAAAGAGGTGCTGTCCAGAGGCAAGCAGGCAGAGGCGATGCTGAGTGTTGGGCTGTGAGAGGGCTCCATAGCAGAGGGAGAGAGCCATTAGGACTCTGGCCAAGGAGGCTTGGTCGAGGCTGAGCTTCAACTGAGGACAGTGAGAGATCAGAGGATGTGATCGAGTAGAGACTGGCTGGCAGAGGCGCTGAGAGAGGAAAGACTGCGATCAGAGGCCGTGAAGGAGGCACTAGGGCGTGTGAGGCCCCGCAGAGACTCACCAGAGGTGAGTGCCGGGCGTAGAGGCACGAGGCACCGAGGGCTGGCCAAGCAGAGACTCCACTGGAGCGCTGAGTGAGGCGCTGCTGTGAGAAGGCACTGGCAGAGGCGCTGAGAGGAGGCACTGAGTAGAGACAGATTTCTGTCATGGATATGACCAAGTGCTTGGATGCAGAGGGAGAGTGATCTCAGATTCATGTCATCGAGATCGAGAGGGACTCCTATGTGGCAGAAGTGCCACTTCATTGATCCAGGTGTAGGCTAGAGGCAAGTCTCTTCATCATGTATATATATCTATAATATGATATACAACTATCCTTTGAGTCATCCACTATCGTAGCTTCCGCTCTTCTTCTTTTTAGCTCAAGCATGCACAAGAGATTCGGGAGTCTAGCTCTTCTCGCAAAATCAAGGAATTGCCACCGTGCGCGATGGTGGAGAGCTTGCTTGGAGGATGCTACACGCAAGGAGACCAAGAGATGGCCTCCAAGATTGTGGGAAGAGCGCTAGAATCTCCCTCGGCGTACATGAAATGTTCCAACATTCGTCAGGTCCAGGTATCCTGAAACCAATCCTCATCCAAGAAACGGCGCATGACATCTTTCAGCTCTGGATCTCCCCGGCCCTTGACCCGTGACTCCAAGCGATCATGCTTCTCGGCCAGCTGTTCACCAAGCTCCTCGATCTGGTGATCGACTTCACTGTCTGGAATCGCTATTCTCTGCCATTGATTGCAGAACTGTTGGAAACAGATTGGGAGACCGACGATGGACACGAGCGCTACAAGCAGCAGGGTATCGTCAAGAGTCAACAATTCCTAATCGCAAGTCGTAGTTTTTTGGAATAGTCCCACGTTGTTGATAGCTCTGGAACGAAGGCAAAATGAATTCAATTTACAGCACAGTTGCACTCGTCGTTAAATGCTTTGGGGCTTGAAGAAAGATTGAATTACTTTTGAAACTAAATTGAATAAAAACCGCTTTCTAAGGGTGGTTTATATTCATACCATATAGGGTGCAAGAAACATTTATTTCGTCGTTTATTTACCACCCAGTCAAGCACGAATGAAATCGTTTACCTGGACACTAATGGGGCTCCGTACATAATGGACGCCATCTGACCAAGTGATGGAGCCAAAAGCATAGTGCCCCACTGAACGAACTATTTGAGCAGCCTCAAACGTGATCTCATAAGACAGCTTTGTCACGGAACTGTTGAAATGGAGATTGTCCGGTTTGACTGTAACTCTGACGCTATGCGGCTCTTCCACGATTGCCCTGTAACTTGAGTATGGTGTCCCTACGTTTGTGACAACTCTTTTCACTGTTTTGGTTCCCACCAGATTGGAGATTGTTATCGAGGGATAGTTCAGCTCAGTGGCTGCTAGAGTCTGAGACGAGCATTTGGAGTGTTCAATCTTGCAAATGCTGCCCAGACTGCAGCAGAAGAGAGCATAGTCTTGAGGAGTGGTAACGTAAACAAGGCCTGGATCTGCTGCTTTGGTTGGATTGATGTGTCCTGCACCATATCCGAAGGGGTTGGAATAACTTAGTGTGAAACTATCAGTTATTATATCCCTTGTGTTGTCCATGTTCCAAGCTGCAACCGTGATACTTCAGGACAGAACTTGCAAAACCCACATACCTGTTGTCATAATTGCAGACTTGATTGCGGAGGGGCTCCAATCTGGATGCAAGGATTTAAGCAAAGCCGCAACACCGGAAACGTGAGGACAGGACATGGACGTGCCACTCATCGCTCCAAAACTCTTTGCTGAGCTGCTTGAATGGTTTTTTGGAGGAATAGCAGCGATTATGTCAACGCCAGGAGCAATGATATCAGGCTGCAATGCCGGTAATATATCAGATGTTTGAATTTGGAAACCAAATGACTCACAAACCTTTAGAATATCAGGAGAAATTGGGTTTGGTCCCCTGGCTGAGAAGGTTGCAACAGCAGGGGCTGGTCCAATCCCGGTCACAGTTTCAGGTGGATGGATATAGATCGTTGACGATCTGCAATTGGAGGTAGCCAAGTTCAAATGATGAAGATAAACAAGATCGATCTGGCTTACTTCTCATGTGATCTGTGACCTAAGAGCTGCACACCGCATGCACTGGGAACTACAAATATAGGGAGCGACAAGGTTCCTGTTATCGATCTGGCTGTATCGGTGATTATAATTCCGGTGGCTCCAGCCTTTTCGATAGCATCCATGTCCACGGGAAGCTCGGCGCTGGAAGCAAAGCAAAGGACATACTTCCCTCTCAGGGTGGTACCATTCAATGTCGCTTCTGTACAATAGCTGCACAGAATTCACCTCATCAGAGAGATACTAGTGTCCGAATGTATGCATACCCATTCTCCCCAGAGGCAATTCCATGCAATCCAACTTTAGAACCGGTCCGGTGCTGTGATGGCGTTGCCTGTCCAAAAACTTCAAAAATGAAGGTTCATACAGCCATTTTGCAAACCTGGCAAGAGGTAGCATTGTCGGGAAGAACGATCTTTGCATGGAAACCCCGGTCAATAGTGCTTGCTCCCACACTCAGAATCCAGGGAGCAGTGTTAATGATTGTGGACGGATATGGTCCCGAATTGCCACCACTTGCCACAACTAAAATCCCATTCTGGACTGCATGAAATGCGGCAATTGCAATGCCATCCGTGTTGTAGTCGTACGTATTTTCCATGCCTGCAGAAATGGACAGGATGTCGACTCCGTCATAAATTGCGTAGTCGATTGCAGAAATAATGTCTGCTTCTAAGCTGCTACTCTCTTCATAGAATTTGTACATTGCAAGCCTGGCCATTGGTGCTCCACCACGAGCTATTCCGCTGCCAAATTCATCATCGCTGGCTCCGTAAACGAGCCTGCCTACAGCGGTCGACGATGTATGCGTGCCGTGAGAGTTTTTGTCCCTGGGTGATCTGTAATCCTCCACGCTAGGATCCACACTTTGGTCGAAATATCGAGCTCCTATAAGTTTCCTGCATTCATGCAGTTAAAACACATGAAACGGCTATACTTCCAAGTTCCAAGCCACTCGGAGGTCCCAACAACGAACCTATTACAGTTTGAAGCCGTGAAGTTCTCGCCTATTTGACATATTCCCTTCCATCTTGTGGGAACTGCTGGCATTGATTTGTCATTGAAACTCTCAGCTTCAGGCCATACACCTGCAGAAAAGTTCCGAAATTTGGTATCTGCTGCACACTAGAATGTGAAACTTAACAAACACCTGAATCCACAACCCCAACAATTACGTCCACTCCGAAGCCAGATTCTTGCAAAATGCCTTTGGGCTTCATGACATCCAATCCAAGGAAGTCCCAGCTGTGAGTTGTATGCAGCTTCACCTTTTTGCTGCGGAACACAGACACAACTCCAGGCATCTCTGTTACAGAAGTATTAGCCTGAAAGCTGAGAGCACAGCCACTTACTGGACAAAGCTTTTGCATGCCCTGGATTCATATCTGCTGCGAAACCGCTGAATCCATGCCGGTAGCTGTACAAGATAGCACTTTTTGCCAAATCTTCACTTCCCAACACACTAGCCAGCGTTTCGTGATGGGATTTCGTTACCAGTTCGTGGTCTTCAATGGTTTTTTTCCCCATGTAGACTATATAAACCTACGATGGCACCAGTTAGCGCCGCTGTATACTCAATAAAATACTTACCTCTCCCATCGAGCACTGGATTTGAGCCAGAAGAATAAGAAAAGCGATTAGTGGTGCCATTCTTCAGGAGTGCAATGCAATGGAAAATCTCTAGCTGCTTTCCGAGCATACCCGGGGTTTGATATAGAGGCGACACCAGTCAGCATTCTGATCAGATGTACTGTGTGGGCCTTCACGCGCTCAATTTTTCTTTAGTCGCGATGTTGATCTGGCTGGCCCATCCGACCACTAGTAGTGGACCCGCAAACAGCCAATGGGGTTGTGTGTAGTGCGGCCCCCCCCGTGAAAAGAAAATTCGAGAAGCACATTAGGCTTCGTCCATCGATGATCCTGCATGTAAAAACATTCTCTTTACAAAGAAAGTCGATGAACAAGAAATTAGCCAACCTTTTAAAAAGAACTTTAGATCTTACTGGTGTAGTGACCACGAGTGAAGTTATTCGCAGCGTCTTCCTTGCCACTGATGAACTGCTCCGGGTGGAAGAGCTGCCTGTAGGTACCAGTGCGAACCTCATCGTAGTGCGGATAGGAGAATATGTGTCACTTCAACCCTGGAGCCTTTACTTTTGAGATACTTGTGGTGATTAGATCCATATGTATGCAAGCCTGAGGTGGTGAATCTGCTGTTTATGAGGCGGTATGTGGCACTGGCTTTAAACTTAGTGTGGTACTGGTATGAGTATGCTGATGCGAGAATGACGCCTAGAAATTCAGCCGCAAACAGACTCTACAATTAAGATATCAGGCCGAGGCAGGTTGCAAAGTGCTGAAAGACAGTTCTAGGACAAATAATGCTGCTGCCAAGCAGGCCAGCATTTCATTGTTTCTACATCTTCACATCAAATGCCCGTCTAACTATCACTTAGTCAGATATCATCGTCGGGAGCACGCAGAAATGCGGCCACATAGCTCTTTTGAGATTTTAGGTGAAGTAAAAAAAATTCAAAAAACTATTACGTGCACGATGAAGTTGGCCATGCCCAGGGCCAGCGGCCCATTTGGAGGTACCCAGACGAGCACACTTAACTCTTGCCCGAATTTCACCTCTTTATACTGCTCTAGTATGTGGGCTCACCTGAAAACTAACCTGAAACAAAATGAAAGCAACAAACACGCGTTGACTGAAGAGGATTCTTTATATCATGAGATTTGTTTGACCAGTCTCACATTTTATGACGGAGGAAAACGGGTTAGCGATAATTTTCACTCACGCTGCTCGAACTTTCTTCACAACCAAGTCGCTACTAAAACCAGGAGCACTCCTCTTCACTCCACAGTGCCTCCTCCTGTGGATAGTCTTCTTGATTTTACTGCTGCAATTTTCCACGATCCAGGGATGCTCCAGCACACCATCCAGTGTCAACCTCTAGCTCGGCTCCACAGCCAGCATCCCGGGAATGTGGACAACCATCCGGGAATCCCTGGTTCACAACAACTCGATCTCCCTGGATTGCTTGTAGCCTTTCAGCAGCTCATATGCGATCACTCCCAGTACCCATATGTCAATGGCCAGCGTCCAGCTGTTCTCCGGCTTGAGATTCCGGTGGACGATGCTGCTGGTATGTATCCCCTTGAGCGCCTTCACCAGACGCTGGATGGTCTTGGCGGCCTCCTTCTCACCCAGCGGCCCTCCCTTGATCAATCGATGGCACAGACTAGGGCCGCACAGCTCCATCATCATGGTCCCGTAGCAAGCCCCGCCACTCCTCTCCCTCACGAAGCCCGCCAAAGAGACCAGCCGTGGAGCTTGGACATGAGCTAGAGCTCTCTCCCGGCCTCCCTCCCCAATTTAAACATAGCTCATGGCGCCCTTGAGCATCATCATCCTCGATGACGATACGGCACAATCGTCATCCTCGAACTCACTGTCGCACCATCACAGAGCTTCTCCTCTCGCATAAGCTTCCTTGATATGATAAAAAGGGGAGAAACTAACGATTATATGTCGACGGCTGGATGGCGTTTTGCTGACGGCTGAGATGTGATCGCCGTGTGCCTAGCCATGAATATTTTTTAAACAATTAGAATATTTTCTATTACCCTGTCACCTTCTTGGACAAAGACAACATAGTTGTAAGTTGGGCTCACCTCCAAACATTTCTATATAAACTTCTACAAACATTTGATCTCATATTTCTTGGCAGAAAAACATCAAGGATTTAGAAGCATAAAACCCAAAATAGAGTGTTATTTGAAAGTTGTAAACTTTTTAGTTGTGTGAACTTTATATTGTGACAAATCCTGATGGGAATATTTATTTTTGCATTGACTATTGCCTATTAAACAAAATAATTATCTTGAATATATACCCTTTTCCTCACACTATTAATCTTCTAGATTGTTTAGGGAAAAATTGTTGGTTCGTAAAATTATATTTTGCTTTTGGATACTGATAAGTGCTAATGGCCAAGGAAAATATTCCCAAGACTTCTTTTTATATATTATTTGGTTTATACAAATTCTTGGTGATGCCATTTGATTTGAAAAATGCTTTAATTACTTTTTAATGGATGATGAATGAGGTTTTTTGCAATATGTTGGAGGTAACTATTAACTTTATAAATGATGTTTTGATCTATTTGGAGGGGATATAGGCATACATTAGTGATGTTTGTAAAGTGTTGGATCACTTGCAGGAAGTTAATTTAAAGCTAAAGTAATTGAAGTGTATGTTTGTGTTCAAGGATACAATTTATCTTGAGTACCATATTTCTCATTAAAGTTTGCAAGTTGATTTTAATAAATTTGTTACTCTAAAGTGTGTGAATAATATGCAATGCTTATTAGGCAAGGTGTAATCTCTCAGCCATTTCATTAATCATATTTCTAATCATATTGCATTATTGGGACCATTGTTGAAGTTGTCAATATTATCTTTCATGTGGTATATAGATTATGAGAGGGCATTTACAGATTTTAAAGAGTTGTTAATAATTTTTCCAGTTTTAGCATATCATAATTACACTAGATCTTTAGTTTTGCAGGTGGATGTTTTTTAGATAAATTTTGGAAGTGTGTTGATGTAAAAGAGCTCAAATATGTCTAATTAGCACCATCCCATTATATCAACTTTATGTTAGAACCAATGAAGATGAATTACTATATAATAAAGGTGTATTTTACAATAGTGAGAAACTTCACACATATCTACATAGTTCTCAAACATTACTAAAAGATGATCATATTGTAGTTACTTTATTATTGAAGCAGAAGAACTTGATTGATTGTATTACTCAGTGGGCTTTGAAGTTTAAGATATATGATTTTGAAGTTGTTTATCGCCAAAGGAGTTTTATATTTAATGTTAACACCTTTTCTCGAGCTCCTTTTCTTTCTTCATTCTCTTCTCATGTTTTTTATAAACCTATTGTTCAAGCATTTGTGTATTTTATGAATAAAGATTTTATGCTGTTATCAGTTGTTATATTTGATGTTCAGTGTTCACAATGTATGGAGCAAAATTTACCTTCTCTTGACAAGGTTTATAAGGCTCAAAAAATAAACATAAGATTAATCTTATTACAACCATTAGATGGTAAAATAAATAGAATATGCTAAAAAGTGTTTAGGAAAGTTTATAAATTATAAATATGTTTATATATATTATAAATACAAGATTAATCAAATGAATAACAACCATTTACTCCTACAATTTTGCTTAAGCATACCAAAAATTTACTGGATGCAACAATGTTTGGTTACTTAATAATAGTGGTTATTATTTATTAATCTTATTGATTATATGAAATCTTGAAAAGTGTTTAGAAAAGTTTGTAAATTATAAATACAAAATTAATCTAATAACTGTTAGATGGTTAGAATATTATATTTTAGGTACATCCACTCTTCCTTTATAAGTTTGCATAAGCAAACCAAAAATAATTTTTAAAAATGTTTTTCACATAAATTAAAATAATTTTCTGCATAGCAATGCTTAGTACTTATTTAGTATTTTTTAATAACCCAATTGATCAATAATTATAAACATGTTTATAATTTATAAATCAGGATTAATCTTATTGCATATTAATCATTAGATAATGGAATAAAAAGAATATACTAGGAAGTCTTTAGGAAAGTTTATAGATTATAAATATATTTATAAATTATAAATACAATATTAATCTAAATAAATAACAACAATTAGATGATTGAATATTCTTAAAATATTCAAGTATATTTTAAATATATTCAATCCCCTTATCAGTTTTGTTTAAACAAACCAATTATATAGCCTATAGTTTTTGATAATTTTTTATGTGAAGAAGTTTCTTCGGTACTTGCTAGGATCCGGGAGGTGGATGTATACGTAACGTATCGATTTTAAGGTGTCCAGGTTCATTGTACCCAGGCTGAGCAATCTAAAGGCTAGGGTTTTAGCATAAGGAATGTAGCAGCGCGTCATGGATCGATGCTGCGCTCATCTGCGTCTCAGATGCTTCCCGATCAGCAAAGAATCGCCGCTCCAATTCCATCGCCCTGCTCTTCTTGTGCGCCTCGCGGCTGGAAAATCTGTTATTCCGGGCCCTGGATTAACAGATTTTCCAGGCAAGAAATCCTCACTTCGTCTCGTTTGCAGCAGAGCGGCAGCGGCGGCTGCGGAGGAGCGCGATCACAACAGGTAATGTGGATTTGGGGGCCAATTCGTTTAGAGATCTTGAGTTCTTGTTGCCAGTGGTGCGTCGAGCTTTCTGGACCAATACCCGGCGCTCACAACCGGGTCGCTCTTCCTATCTTGGTAAGAAGAAAAGATAAGAGATTTTTGTTTTCTTCCCTAGCTCCAAATCAAAGGATCGCACAGGTCTCTGTTAAATGCGGTTTTTAATGTCTTGAACAAGCAGGTGTTTCACTACTTTCCATATCCATGGTAACTTCCTCTTCTTCTTCGTCTTGTTTAGTCTAAATCTTTTTCCTCACCTTGAACAGTACCATGTCCGTGATTCATCTGGCGGTGGGAGTTACATACTGCAGCGTTTGCTGGGCATTTGGAATGCCAAAACGTGTCGTAAGTTTTCGATTTTTTCGCCAGACTACCTATCCTGATTTGATTGGTTCCAGCCATTGAGCAAGGAACTGATGAGATTGCTTCTGCCAGTTTCGTTTTGTCACGCGCTGGGACACATCATGACCAACATTTCCTCATCCACCGTCGCCGTTTCCTTCACACACACGGTCAAAGGTTTTGTGGTTTTGCTTTTAGTTTGTGGAGATTGACAGGATTACTCGTGTTTGCTGCTGGCAGCGCTGGAGCCTTTCTTCAACGCATCTGCGTCACAGTTTCTTCTGGGACAATCAGTTCCTTTCGCCCTCTGGCTTAGCTTGATACCTGTAGTCGCTGGTAAATATATGCTCTAGATTTGTAAACCTCTTGCGTTCTCAAGCTTGGTCCTTCAGGGGTTTCTCTAGCATCACTCACAGAGGTTTCATTTAACTGGAAAGGATTTCTCAGTGCCATGACGTCTAACGCCGCATACACATACCGAAACATTGTTTCCAAGGAGGCTATGGTACAAAGCATTTCTTCATATCTGATGACGCTCTTTCTTGTCCTGTCCAGGCAACAATTGACAGCACTAATCTTTACGCTTACATATCTTTGATTTCGCTCTTCATGTGCATTCCACCAGCATTACTGGTAAGTAGCATTCATTTAATCCGCAAGCTTTTAGTAGATCAATGCTTTTTATCTACAGATAGAAGGTCCGAGCCTTGTCAAGCACGGGCTTGCTACCTCAGTTGCAAAAGTAGGCATTCGAAAGTTCGTAGCAGATCTAATCGTGGTGGGAGTTTTCTATCATCTGTACAATCAGGTTCGTTCTTTCTCTTCGATAAAGCACGATGCCAGATATTTCTTGCACGTCTATCAGGTTGGCAACAACACTCTGGAACGAGTAGCGCCTCTGTCACACGCAGTAGGCAACGTACTAAAGCGAGTCGTAGTCATCGTATTCTCTATACTTGTTTTTGGTAAGCCTTTCGAGTGATTAGATTGATGATGCGAGTGACTTTCTTTCTGTCTCTGTAGGAAATCGAATTACAAAACAAACTGCTGTAGGCACGACGATGGCAATCGGTGGAGTTGCCTTCTACTCTTTTGCTAAAGCCAAACTAGACGAGATGAAACAACGAGCTCTTTTGAATCAAAAGCATTAGTTTTGGATTTGGTCTACCCGCCTCGATTGCACCACCATGCAATTGACATGCTAGGCTGAGAACATCGTGGACTGGAAAGCTATCTTCTTTGACCAAACTGGACTCCAGTCAAGAAAGGCTAACCTTGTGTCTGGCTTCATCCACCTCCTCGCTGCTGATGGACTGCAAACTTGAAGCCCCAAGAGAAGACGTTTTTGTCGGCGATGGCATCGAATGCTCGTGTGCTTGCCATACATGTCCACCAGAGGATTGCCGATACTGGTGGAGTGGCGGCCATGGAATCGCAGCTGCGCTTGCATGCATCCCATATTTCGACACAAGGGCCCCAAACTCCTCCGCATCGATCGCAATGCCCGTGCTCCTGGACGCAAGGCGCTGGATCTCTTCCATCGAATACTGGAGCTGGACGACTTGGTCCACTCCACCGCGCTCCAATCCAATCGCTCGAGGACGGGCGCGGTCCACAAGTGGACCAGATCATTGAGCCATGAGAGCTGGCGCTGGATGCTTCTAACTTAGATATTTAATTCAAAACATCTACCAGCGATTTTGCCGACGCTCCACAGGGAGGAGCACCGCCAATCCAATGAATCTAGTAAAGCGCAACATTGATAGCGATGGAAATGAAAAAGTGTCTTGAGGGATCACTTGATCCTCATTTCTATCGCATCCTGAGGAGCTGATCTTGCTGATCTCTACCACGGCGTCTTGTTCCACATACACACATGGGACACTGTACAAAGCACCTTCGTGCCTCTCTATCTTGATTCTTGATCCACCGCCCGCGATTCCCACTTCGAACTTCACGCGTGAAGGAATGAGAGATCTCAAGCTCGAGTCTGCAAATCAACTCAAAACGATAAGAACCCAGAAAGATAACAAAGAGCATCTGCGCTCTACCTTGGTCTACATGGCGACCACAAGCTTGGAAGGAGCCATTTCTATGGTAAACAAGAGAAAGAATGAGAAAAACGAAGGGGCAAGCTCCCATTGATAAAGGCCGAGGGATCACATACTCACACAAAGGCTGGCACGGACTTTGAAAAATGCAAGGTGTTGTTCACTGAGTGGCCAAGAGATGACGTTGATAACCATAGTAGCACCACCATTTAGTTCACTCGATAAAATATGTTAGTGTGGAATCGAGGACATGGTTGATCAGGAGAAAAAAGATGGCAGATAATATCATTAGACGCGAGCAACGTGGGCTCGCAGCAATCCTTATTTGCTCGAACATTGCGTTCTGGTAAAGGTGACGTTCGTGGGACAGCCGCATTCGCTGGTACAAGTCAAAGGCGAGGTCGCCGTAGCCATTGACGGAGTACGCAGCGATCAAGCTGTTCCAGGATACAACATCCTTGCGTGGCATTGTCCCGAAAGTTGTCCTGGCGTCGCCCAAGCTCGCGCACCTGGCTGACGAGGGCGTTCCGGATTTGAGCTCCGTTCTCTCGGCTGCCGCTCGTCGCAAAGCTCTCTTCGACATTGGAGTGGATCAGCCTCGTGGTGTGCAAGTCGACTGGTCCCGTGCAAGCGTTCATGATCGAGAGAGGCAACGTCGTTTGCCCTCGAGCCCCATTCTCTGGTAGAGCTGAAGCGATTCCGAATTGAGACCTGATGGCGTTCCAAAGATCACGTCGCACGATTCTTTGAACACGCTCCTGGCGGTGGTAAGCTGGCCTCCGTTTCCATAGATGCTCACCAAAGAGTTGCAAACAACAGTGTCAGAGGACACTCGAAGGCCCCTAGAGCTCCAGAGAGCTTCCATGAAGCCCGAGAAAGACGCATAGGCGACGATGAGAGTGTTCCGGGAGATCACGTCGGGCTGGTCCGGGACACCACTGATTCAAGTGAAGTCATATCCTAGATAAAAGAGCCTGTAATGTAATGCAATGTCTCTTTGTATTGCCAGTAGACAAGTATATTATGTGGGTGTTGGAGGAGCTGAGGTGGAGTCTAAGTTAAGAGTCCCTGTCTGGTGCAGGTGGGCGACTGCTCTGCATATGCTTGCTTGCTTTGCTTGCCACCACAATGAGCATTGTGGTTGAAATAGTTATAAATTTAAACCTTTGATCTTTTTCAAGAGATATTTTGAGAAACAGAAAAATCTGGTGACCTGATGATGCCCAGTGCGGGCAATCCAAAGATACACGAGCACCTACAGACGCTTCTTTCATGCTGTGACGATCAGGGCGATGGAGAAGAGATCCATGCTTGTGTCGTGAGGGCTGGCATCGAATGGGACGTCGCCATGTCCACTGCATTGGGGCGCTTCTGCTCAGTGGACTCGACCTTAAAACTCCCAAGCTTAAAAGTCTTAGCTACAGCATAGCTCTTCCATGCCAGAGCACTGACTTCTCCAGCCAGCCGAGCTTTCTGGAGTGATTCCTTAGAATCTCTGTGGCACACACTCCTCAACCGAACAAGGTTGCCCTGCTCCAGAGCCAAGCAAGACCTCGCCAGCCTAAGGAACGCAACCTTATGTGTCCTTGCTTCGCTCACTCCCTCCACCCCTCTTTGCTGCTAGCATAGGCCGTGATCAAGAATCCCAATAGAAGACGTTCTTGTCGGCGATGCGCGTGCGTCGTGCGCGCTGCCATGTGGAATCGCAGCTGCCCGCTTCCAGGGCATTGGATCTGCCACTTCTCACTAGAAAATATTCTAATTGTTTAGAGAATATTCGCGGCTAAGCACATCGGCACCGTTGATAGTCGATCACATCTCAGCCGTCGGCGAAACGCCATCCCAGCCGTCGACATATAGTCGTTATGGGTTTCTACCCTTTTATTTTTCATATCAAGGAAGCTTGCGCGAGAGGAGAAGCTCTGCGATGGTGCGCGAAGACGGTGAGTTCGAGGACGATTGTGCCGAGCTCCTCAAGATCCACACGAGGGGCCAGAGGCTGGGCTGCGAGGGCCAGGGCCAGGTTTTCGTGCTCAACGCCGGGAAGATGTTTCAATCGGGGAGGGAGGCCGGGAGAGAGCTCCGGCTCATGTCAAAGCTCCGCGGCTGCGCTGGAGTGGTCTCGTTGGCGGGCTTCGTGAGGAAGAGGAGCGGCGGGGCTTGCTACGGGACCATGGTGATGGAGCTGTGCGGTCCTAGTCTGTGCCATCGATTGATCAAGGGAGGGCCGCTGGGCGAGAAGGAGGCCGCCAAGACCATCCAGCGGCTGGCGGAGGCGCTCAAGGGGATACATACCAGCGGCATCATCCACCGGAATCTCAAGCCAGAGAACATCTTCGTCAAGCTGGACGCTACTGCCGTGCACGAGGTGGTGATTGGAGACTTTGGAGTGGCCACGGACGACCCCAAGGAGATGTCGCAGTACTATGGAACCGGGAAGTATATGGCCCCGGAGGTGACGAGCTGCAAGGGTGGTCATGGCGACGCAAGAACGCAGAGCTTTTACACTACGGCCATCGACGTGTGGGCGCTGGGAGTGATCACATATGAGCTGCTGAGAGGCTACAAGCAATTCAGGGAGATCGAGTTGTTTCGAGCCGGAGAATTCCCGGATGGTTGTCCTCTCTCAGACGAGGCGGAGGATTTCATCTGTGGGATGCCGATCGAGAGGTTGACGCTGGATGGTGTGCTGGAGCATCCCTGGATCGTGGAGAATTGCAGCAGTAAGATCAAGAAGACGATTCATAGGAGGAGGCGCTGTGGAGTGAAGAGGAGTGCTCCTGGTTTTAGTAGCGACTTGGTTGTGACGAAAGTTCGAGCAGCGTGAGTGAAAGCCAATTATATTATCGCTAACCCGTTTTCCTCCGTCACACCGCTCTTAAAATGTGAGACTGGTCAAACAAATCTCCATGATACAAAGAATCCTCTTCAGTCAACGCGTGTTTGTTGCTTTCATTTAGTTTTCAGGTGGATTGTTGTGTTTGAGCCCACATGCTGGAGCAGTATAAAGGGGTGAAATTCAGGCGAGATTTAAGTGTGCTCGTCTGGGTACCTCCAAATGGGCCGTTGGCCCTGGGCGTGGCCAACTTCATCGTGGTCTTTGATTAAACGTCGTTTTTTTTGAATTTTTTTAAAAAAACTTCACCTAAAATCTGTGGCGTAGAAAGCCATTAGCGTGAAAGTGATAGTTGGTTTGAAGATGCAACTTTAACATGTTGCAACTAAAAACAGTGAAAGCATTATTTGCCCTAGAGCTGTCTTTAAGCACCTTGCAACTTTGCCTGATATTTTAATTGTAGAGGTCTGTTTGTTTTGGTTTTGGTTGAATTTCTAGGCGTCATTCTCGCATCAGCATACTCATACCAGTACACATACCGCCTCATAAACAGCAGATTCACCACTTCACAAGTATCTCAAAAGTAAAGGCTCCAGGGTTGAATTGACACATATTCTCCTATCCGCACTAAGAGCTTACGCAGCTTTGAACAGGAACGGCTTGTTCATCGACTTTCTTCGTAGAGAGAATGTTTTTACATGCAGGATCATCGATGAACGAAGCCTAATGTGCTTCTCGAATTTTTTTTTATCTGCAATGAGTGCTGTGCATTGTTCCTGTTCTGCTGCAGTGAATTGCTGGGGGAAGTGGCAGCACTACAACCCCATTGGCTGTTTGCGGCTCCACTACTAGTGGTCGGATTCAAATCGCAACTAAAGAAAATTCGAGTGCCTGAAGGCCCACACAGTACATCTGATCAGAATGCTGAGCCTCTATATCAACCCCCGGGTATGCTCGGAAAGCAGCTAGGGATTTTCCATTGCATTGCACTCCTGAAGAATGGCACCACTAATCGCTTTTCTTATTCTTTTGGCTCAAATCCAGTGCTCGATGGGAGAGGTAAGTATTTTTTTGAGTCTACAGCGGCGCTAACTGGTGCCATCGTAGGTTTATATAGTCTACATGGGGAAAAAAACCATTGAAGACCACGAACTGGTAACGAAATCCCATCACGAAACGCTGGCCAGTGTGTTGGGAAGTGAAGATTTGGCAAAAGGTGCTATCTTGTACAGCTACCGGCATGGATTCAGCGGTTTCGCAGCAGATATGAATCCAGGGCATGCAAAAGCTTTGTCCAGTAAGTGGCTATGCTCTCAGTTTTCAGGCTAATACTTCTGTAACAGAGATGCCTGGAGTTGTGTCTGTGTTCCGCAGCAAAAAGGTGAAGCTGCATACAACTCACAGCTGGGACTTCCTTGGACTGGATCTCATGAAGCCCAACGGCATTTTGCAAGAATCTGGCTTCGGAGTGGACGTAATTGTTGGGGTTGTGGATTCAGGTGTTTGTTAAGTTTCACATTCTAGTGTGCAGCAGATACCAAATTTCGGAACTTTTCTGCAGGTGTATGGCCTGAAGCTGAGAGTTTCAATGACAAATCAATGCCAGCAGTTCCCACAAGATGGAAGGGAATATGTCAAATAGGCGAGAACTTCACGGCTTCAAACTGTAATAGGTTCGTTGTTGGGACCTCCGAGTGACTTGGAACAAGGAAGTATAACCGTTTACTCTATGAATGCAGGAAACTTATAGGAGCTCGATATTTCAACCAAAGTGTGGATCCTAGCGTGGAGGACTACAGATCACCCAGGGACAAAAACTCTCACGGCACGCATACATCGTCGACCGCTGTAGGCAGGCTCGTTTATGGAGCCAGCGATGATGAATTTGGCAGCGGAATAGCTCGTGGTGGAGCACCAATGGCCAGGCTTGCAATGTACAAATTCTATGAAGAGAGTAGCAGCTTAGAAGCAGACATTATTGCTGCAATCGACTACGCAATTTATGACGGAGTCGACATCCTGTCCATTTCTGCAGGCGTGGACAATACGTACGAGTACAACACGGATGGCATTGCAATTGGCGCATTTCATGCAGTCCAGAATGGGATTTTGGTTGTGGCAAGTGGTGGCAATTCGGGACCATATCCATCCACAATCATTAACACTGCTCCCTGGATTCTGAGTGTGGGAGCAAGCTCTATTGACCGGGGTTTCCATGCAAAGATCGTTCTTCCCGACAATGCTACCTCTTGCCAGGTTTGCAAAATGACTGTATGAACCTTCATTTTTGAAGTTTTTGGACAGGCAACGCCATCACAGCACCGGACCGGTTCTAAAGTTGGATTGCATGGAATTGCCTCTGGGGAGAATGGGTATGCATACATTCGGACACTAGTATCTCTCTGATGAGGTGAATTCTGTGCAGCTATTGTACAGAAGCGACATTGAATGGTACCACCCTGAGAGGGAAGTATGTCCTTTGCGTTGCTTCCAGCGCCGAGCTTCCCGTGGACATGGATGCTATCGAAAAGGCTGGAGCCACCGGAATTATAATCACCGATACAGCCAGATCGATAACAGGAACCTTGTCGCTCCCTATATTTGTAGTTCCCAGTGCATGCGGTGTGCAGCTCTTAGGTCACAGATCACATGAGAAGTAAGCCAGATCGATCTTGTTTATCTTCATCATTTGAACTTGCCTACCTCCAATTGCAGATCGTCAACGATCTATATCCATCCACCTGAAACTGTGACCGGGATTGGACCAGCCCCTGCTGTTGCAACCTTCTCATCCAGGGGACCAAACCCAATTTCTCCTGATATTCTAAAGGTTTGTGAGTCATTTGGTTTCCAAATTCAAACATCTGATATATCACCGGCATTGCAGCCTGATATCATTGCTCCTGGCGTTGACATAATCGCTGCTATTCCTCCAAAAAACCATTCAAGCAGCTCAGCAAAGAGTTTTGGAGCGATGAGCGGCACGTCCATGTCCTGTCCTCACGTTTCCGGTGTTGCGGCTTTGCTTAAATCCTTGCATCCAGATTGGAGCCCCTCCGCAATCAAGTCTGCAATTATGACAACAGGTATTGTGGGTTTTGCAAGTTCTGTCCTGAAGTATCACGCTTGCAGCTTGGAACATGGACAACACAAGGGATATAATAACTGATAGTTTCACACTAAGTTATTCCAACCCCTTCGGATATGGAGCAGGACACATCAATCCAACCAAAGCAGCAGATCCAGGCCTTGTTTACGTTACCACTCCTCAAGACTATGCTCTCTTCTGCTGCAGTCTGGGCAGCATTTGCAAGATTGAACACTCCAAATGCTCGTCTCAGACTCTAGCAGCCACTGAGCTGAACTATCCCTCGATAACAATCTCCAACCTGGTGGGAGCCAAAACAGTGAAAAGAGTTGTGACAAACGTAGGGACACCATGCTCAAGTTACAGGGCAATCGTGGAAGAGCCGCATAGCGTCAGAGTTACAGTCAAACCGGACATTCTCCATTTCAACAGTTCCGTGACAAAGCTGTCTTATGAGATCACGTTTGAGGCTGCTCAAATAGTTCGTTCAGTGGGGCACTATGCTTTTGGCTCCATCACTTGGTCAGATGGCGTCCATTATGTACGGAGCCCCATTAGTGTCCAGGTAAACGATTTCATTCGTGCTTGACTGGGTGGTAAATAAACGACGAAATAACTGTTTCTTGCGCCCTAAGCGAGAATCATCTATGGTATGAATATAAACCATAAGACTTTGGTTTCAAAAGCAATTCAATGTTTCTTGAAGCCCCAAACCATTTACCATTTCAGTTGGCGAGTGCAACTGTGTTGTAAATCATTCATTTTGCCTTTGTTCCAAAGCTATCAACAACGTGGGACTATTCCAGAAAACTACGACTTGTGATCAGGAATTGTTGACTCTTGACGATAGCCTGCTGCTTGTAGCGCTCGTGTCCGCCATCAGTCTCCCAATCTGTTTCCAACAGTTCTTCAATCAATTGCAGAGGATAGCGATTCCAAACAGTGAAGTCGATCACCAGACTGCCGTCCTAAGATGCTCCAGTTGCAAAATTCTCCTCAATATCGTACTGGCAGTTGACCCTTTGACTCTTGTAAAAGTCAACATAGTATTATCTTCAAATTATGTGAGCTCATTCCTTAGACACCACATTTTCTTAACAACTAAGTTTGTTTAACAGGTGTCAAGCTCAAAGCTACGTGTTGGAATCGACGTAGAACAGGTTTTCTTTCATCCCGAGAGCCCTCCCCCAAACTAGCTGAGAGATCCTTCCATCCCAAATGGTGAGGTCGGTGCCCGCCAATGAGAATCACATTCCTTCCGCAGTTGCCAGGCGAAGTGTTGCTTCCGGTAAGAAACTCGAATACAGAAAAGATCTCTATACGAATGCATTGCTCCAGCATGGAAGAGCTACGCCATAGCAGCGACACTGGGTGTTCTTCTCTCGTGGGCTTACTTGTCTGGAGTGAAGGCTCCGCCTCCTCGAATTTGCGGGCAGCCGAATGGACCTCCAGTGACCGCTCCAAGGATTGTTCTTAGTGATGGTAGAAAATTGGCTTACAGTGAAAGAGGGGTTCCAAAGGAACAAGCAAAACACAAACTCATTGTTGTGCATGGCCTTGACGGGTCCAGGCACCAATCCCTTTCACTGGTATCACAGGTATGGTTTCTAGGATTTTCCAAGATCGGTTTCAAGAATGAAACAAGCAACTCTTCTCATTAACTTCCACCGTGTTTTCTAGGAGCTTCTCGAGGAGCTGAGTGTGTACATGGTGTCTTACGATCGAGCCGGTTATGGACAGAGCGACCCAAATCCAACACGAACCGTGAAGTCGGAGGCTTTCGACGTTGAAGAATTCACAGACCAACTTGAGCTGGGACCAAAGTTTTACTTGGCATCTATCTCGATTGGAGGCTACACCGCTTGGTCTTGCCTTTACTACATCCCCCACAGGTAAAACGTTAATTCCATATTAGTTCTTTTCGTTTCGTTGTTCGGAGAACTAACTTTTCGCTATAGATTGGCTGGAGTTTTGATGTTCTCGCCCGTCACAAACTTTTGGTGGTCGAGGCTCCCATCCCGGGAAGCCTACAATGCGTTTCACACGCAGGCCATTGGAGACAAGCTCGCGCTGCTCGTCGCTCACTACACCCCCTCCTTCCTCTACTTTTGGATGACACAAAAACTCCTCCCAACCTCGAGCACCATGGGAGCGCTCCACTTACATTGCAACCCAATGGACAGGGACACAATACTCGGAGGAAAACCGGATCCTGCTGTAAGTTTCAATACTCCCGATTGTTTCTATGATACTCATGTAGTTTTCATCGTCCAGATTGCCGAAGAGGCAATGCAGCAAGGGATCTTCGAGTCGAAAATTCGTGACAAGATGGTCATGTTTGGCAACTGGGAGTTCGACCCCTCGGACGTCCCGGATCCATTCCCGAGCAAGAATGGGTCGGTCCACATATGGCAGGGTGACGAAGACTATCTCGTCCCTGTGGCGTTGCAGCGCTATGTCCATCGATCCCTCCCGTGGATCCAGTATCATGAGCTTGCCGGGGTTGGGCATTTGCTCCATGCTGCGCCGGGTGTGACTGAGAAAGCATTTCGCCAGCTCTTCCAATCATCCTGATACCCAATGAATACATCACTGTGTATGTCAACATACGCTAATTTACAAAAATGTTTTACGGCCTTTCATTGACTTTGCATTGACTTTACATTGACCATGTTGACTTTCATAGAGCTTCAGGAGCAAAGGCTGGAATCTTAGCGTTCCAGCTTCTCGGGAGCAATGCTCTTGCTTTTTCAAACGCTGGCCAGCAAGAGATCATACCCAGCGCCATCCCTGGCATCCATCCTCACCAGATTCTCAAACGCGGCTCTGGCGAGATCATAGCTCTCCCACCGCCGGCAAGAGCTCAAGATCGTCCTCCACGCCACCGCATTCGCCCGGAAGGGCATCGATCGCAGCAGCTCCACCGCGGCATCCAGCTCGTTGGCTCGACCCAAGAGATCCACCATGCACACGTAGTGCTCCATCTCCGGCTCCACGCCATACCTCTCCGCCATCGCCGCGAAGAACTCCTTCCCCTTCTCCACCAGCCCGCCGTGGCTACACGCCGCCAGCACGCTCTGGATCGTCACGGCGTTGGGCGCCACTCCGTCCTCGACCATCGCTCCAAACAGCGCGATCGCGCGCTGGGACTCGCGGCTGTGGGCGGTGATGATCGACGTCCACGCGATCACGCCTCTGGATCCAGCGCCATCGAAGACGCGATCCGCGAGGAGGAGAGCTCCACACTTTCCATACGCGTCCACCAGCGCCGCCACTAGAATCTCCTCCTCCGCCAGCCCCGACCGGCAAATCTCGCCATGGATCACTCGCGCGGCGTCCAACGCCGCCGCCATCGCCGCCGCCTTGAGCCCCGCCGCGTAGCAGTGAGCGTCCGGCGCGATGGAGCTCGCGCTCGCGAGGATCATGCTCCAGAAGAGATCCAGCGCCGCTCCAGCCTCGCCACTCTCGCAGCACGCCAGCAGCAGCGACGTGATCGCCACCACGTCGCAGCGATCGATCGACTGGAAAGCTCGCCGCGCGTCGTCCAAGCTCCCACACTTGGAGTAGAGATCCACAAGCGAGCTCGCCACCTTGCTCGAGACGTCTAAAGCTCGGGAGTGGAGCTCCATCCCTCTCTCCAGAGCTCCAAGCTTGACGAGCTTGCCCTCGTCCATCTCCACGCTCTCCTCACGGGCCGCCATAGCCATGCAAGCTTTGAGCGCTGGAAGAAGAATCGAGCCACTGCCGCCACCGCCGCCACTTGGATCTTGTCTCATCCATTCAAGAGCTAGCTCCACGGCGAGCTCAGGCGCCTCGTTCTCCGCATAGCCGAGCACCAAAACGTTCCACGACACGGAAGTGTGAGCCGGCATCCTATCGAAAACCCGGCGAGCATCGACCAAGCTTCCACACTTTGCGTACATTCCCAGCAAGCTGTTGGCCACGAAGGTGTCCGAGTCTTGTGAAGATCTCGCTGCCTGAGAGTGAATCGCCATCCCGGTTTCCAAAGCTTCCAGCTTTCTTGCATCAAACGCTCGGGAGCTTCTTGCCAAGACTGTCTTTCTTCCATCAACCTGGGCGCTCTTTCCCGGGAGAGTTTCCATCCTTCTTCCATCGATCTGTGAGCTATCTTCCTGTTGAGAGCTCCTTGCCGAGGCTTCCATCTTCCTCCCATCCATCTGCGGCTTTCTTTCTGCCTTTGTTCTGTCTCTCTGCAAGGCGATTGTCGTGCAAGCCTTGAGAGCAGCGACGAAAGCTCGAGCGTTGGGAGCGCAGCCCCGGCGTTGCATGCTCCCAAACAGCTCAAGCGCCGTCTCTCCCTGCCCGTTGTCCGCGTAGCCGAGCATGAGAGCGGTGTAAGTCACAACGTCGCAGCTGGGCATCTTGTCGAAAACTCGCCGAGCCAGCACCAAGCTCCCACACTTTGCGTACATGTCCACGAGACTGCTCGTCACAAAAGCGTCCGACTCGCAGTGCACCATCGCTGCCTGTGAGTGAATTTCGAGGCCTTGCTCCAGAGCTCGCAACTTCAAACGAGCTCCGTCGCGACTTTGTTGCTCAGCTTCTTTCGCTGCCAAGTTACTGCAAGCTCTGAGGGCGGCCACGAAAGTTCCAGCATTTGGAGCGTAGCCTCCGAGTTTCATGTGGAAGAAGAGCTTGAGAGCGAGCTCTTCTTCGCCATTGCTTGCGTATCCCAGCATGAGAGCGTTCCAGAGAACCGTGTCCTGGTTGAGAGTCGAGTCGAAAACCTTTCGTGCCTCCCCCATGCTCTCGCATTTTGCGTACATGTTGATCAAGGAGGTGGCGATGAATGTGTCCGACTGCAGCCCGATCTCGGTGGCTCGAGAGTGAAGGATTTTTCCCGTGCGGAGGTCTCTTGAGCTCGTGCATACCTTCAGCGCAGCAAGTAACTTGGATCTCGCTGCTCCGTTTGCAAGCATACAAGGATGCAAAGGCTGCAAAACAAAGACATGACAAAATTCACCAATGCTTTAGCTGAATGAAAGTGCAAGGTACCTATATCACTGTTGAAGGCATTTGGGTCGAAGCAGCGCAATCCAAAAGAGCAGCAAAACTTCATCAATCTGCAACAAAACCCTAGAGAAGTTCCTCCAACAGAAGTCTTAGTCTTTGTTGTCAATCTTTCAATTAAGAGATTAAATAAAAGAATCGTCTTGAAGTACCTATCTTTCACTCTGCGATGGAAATTGCAACCGCAGTTCCGATTCCACAGGTTAATGCAAACAGCTGGAGCAATGTGCTCTTGATAGAGCTTCCTTGCTGATGCATTTCAGGTATAACTCCTGCCAAGGAGATGTACAAAAAGCCTCCGGCCGTGAACGCCTGCAAGAGTTTCTAAAAGTCAGTTGCGGTCCATCTCGTAAGATTTTAATACCTCAATCACTGATGACTGCTCGGGATTGGCCCCAAAAACCAGCGCCTGGATTGAGTTTCAACCATATGAACACCACAAAACCGAAATGGCTAGCTAGCTACACATACCACGGCAGTGCCAGCCAAAGCAACCAACGCAGACAAAAAGTTGAATGCCAAAGCCTTGAAAACAGTGAAGCCAGATCTTACAAGAATTCCAAAATCTCCAACCTGAAATATACGAGCAATTAAGAAAGCAGCAATGCCAGGAGAGTTATAACCTCTTGAGGAAGCTCGTGGACAAGAAGGAAGAACGTTCTGGACCAACCTCCTTTTGTTCCATATAGAAGAAAAGCTGCTCCTATCGCCATTCCGTCGGTGAAGTTATGCTGCAAAAATAACGAGCTTAAAGTATGATACGAGCATTCCAAACCATACCACTCCGTCGGAGAACAGGTTCAGATAACCCAGCACAAGTTTAGATCCATCAGCGTTCTTCTGTGCTTTTTTCTTCTTGGAATTTTTTGGAGGGATCTTTTCAGTTTCCTGAAGCGAAGTTTGTTCGTTGAGGAGAAACAAAAGAGCTTCAGGAAAAACTTACAGAACTTTTGTCGGAATCAGGTGCTTTACCATCATTTTTTTTGGGATGGTGGTGATGTGAATGCGAAGTTTGAAAACCGTGCTCCTCGACGTAGCGCACTATCTTCTCAACCATGAAGAACAGTAAAATTCCGGCTGCGCAAAAGCATATTACTGTTATCAGAAAACTTCTTACAACAATTTTACGTACCGAGAACACAAAGTCCAGTTGAGATCTCCTTAAGCGAATGAGCGTGACCTCCGTTATCATGATCGTGTGAATGATGGGAATGAGAGTGCGAATGCGTAGAATGGCTTGAATCTCCAAACGCGTGAGGCAGCTGGTGGAGGAACGCATCGCCCATCATGGCACCTCCCTGCCGGTAAAATTCTAAGACACGTTCTAAGAAACCACGTTTAAGAACTTACTCCAAATGCCGCCAAAGTGTTCACAAAATTCGCAGGAGGAGGTCCTTTAGCTGCAAAGATCGAGCTGGTGTTAGAGAAAAAAAGTTCCATGCAAAGGAAAAAAAGAAGCTCATCGTACAGGAAATCAAAGGGACCGTCGCGAGACAGATGAGAGAAACCAGGCTCACCAATAACGAACTTCCCATCGCGTAAGCCCAGAGCTCTACAGAGGAAAACAAATAGAGCATTAAACCCTACGCTATAACCCATACTACAAACATACCAAATTTCGAGAGCTCGCTCCTGGAATCCTCAAACTCCGAGCTGCCGAATCCAAAGCGCTTGAGATCCTCCTCTTCCGCGAGCTCCTCCGGTAGCAGACTGTGGTCGTCGTGATGATGATCATGCGAAGAATGTGAATGAGCATGGTCGCGGGAGTGATGATGCCCGCCATGGCTGCAAGAATGCGAATGCTCGCGCTCGTGAGCTGCGGCGAGGAGAGATCCGCTCGCTGCCGAGACGACGACGAGCAAAACGAGGAATGCGCGCTCCATCGCGCATCTAGGGCTCCTCCTCTCGAGCAGGGAAATAAAAAACCAGTGACCACGGTGGGATTCGAACCCACGACCTTTGGATTCGAAGTCCAGCGCGCTATCCACTGCGCTACACGGCCTGGCGGAGATCATGGCAAACTGCCAAACTCCCGCCGGCTGAGCCCCTTGGTCAATTTAGTCAACTCTTGGCCCAGTCAAACGAATTCCAAGAGGAGAGAAAGAGAAATCTAGGTCTTGCTCGCCCACCGCTTCGTGAAATTTTGATCTGGGCACTCCAACAAGAGGCGAAGAACACCACATTGAGGTACTCGCGCGTGAATTCTTAGCTTGGATTGTTCTGGCTTGAATACATTTCTTCCCACATGATCTCTACAAAACTTTGTTTTCCAGGTAGATTCTCGTAGAAAGTACGCGCTTCGAAAGAAATGCGCACGAATTCTCTACGCTAAGAAACGCTGTCTACTTTTCTCCATAAGTATCTCGTCGTCTCCATTTCTTTCCCAATTTCCACTCGAGGTACGCTATCCTTTGGTCAAAAGCTTCTTTTTTTTCCTTCTTCCTCTTTTGTTCGTGCGTAAGCACTACGTAAGTGTGATCGAGAGATCTCTCGCATGGTTTGGCAGTGAATTCGTGTGCTTGTGTGTGTGTTGCTACCATTGACGGTGGCTGTCGCTGTGGCCCCTCCTTCCACTTTGTCCTTTCTTCCACTCAGTGGAGAACATCTCATTCGTTTTCTGGCGAGAGCTAAAGTTGTGGAGCGATAGCCTGTGCGTGTGTGTGTGTGTGTACTTTTGTTCCTCTTCCTAAGGCTGCGCCCCCTTTGTTTCTCATTGTTTTTGCTCGTCCCCCTTTTCAACAGGCTCCGGGTTTCCATCGTCGCTGCGCAGAAAATGGCTTCTTTTCGCAAGATAGTGCTTGCATCACTACTATCATGCTTGCTCCTCGCCGCTGTTGCCACTGAAACCGAAGGTAGAGCGAGCCTTTCTCTCTTTTGTTTTCTCCTTTTTTACTCTAGAACCGATTGTGTTCCTGATTCTTCCGTGGAATTCTAGCAGATGAGAGCTTGGTGGCAGCACAGGACCAGGTAAAAACTCTTGTTTTCTCGTTTTTTCGTACTGTTCTTTAGCCGCGTGATAGGATCTCTTTTAACTTTCATTCGTTCGTATTGCATAATCTCACCCCCACTGTGTCTTCGCCTTTCGAGACTAGTAGATGAGGTAAAAAGCTCTTTTTCTTTTTGCTGCGTTTCGCCACTGTTCTTCGCGTAATCTCCAGTTATTAAAGCTCTTCGTTTTCGCCAAAGAACTTATACTTCCTATTCTTCAGGCTCTTAACTTCGACCGTGGATTCGCCATGGAACAGATGCTATCACGGATCCAGAGCAAAAAGCTTCGTCGCGAGAGAAACTTGGTCCACACAAACGACTACGCCGATCCATCGCCAAACACCGATCCAAAGCGCGGCCCGCCGAAATCAGGATAAGTATAGAACTCGTTGGAAGCGCGTGTAAATTTACTCTACGCGGATATCAAGTCCATGGTTGTTTTATACATGGCTGACTCTTTGGCTTCCTCAAAGGAAGCATAGTGTGTTTTGCTGGCCAGCATCAACAATGAATCTATAATATACAAATGGTTTGTGGCTTATAATGCTGGTAGAATAGTGTTCTATCAATTTATAAGCAGCAGCTTGCAGAGAGGCCAGCCACAATATATGACCACTTTGATGGTGTGAGCTGACCGAGTGGAACAAGTGCTGTTGTAAGAGCTAGGGAGAGCTAGGGAGAGTTTAAATGTGAGTGTGGAGCTTCCGGAGAAGCATAGAGAAAGCATGGGCGTGTTTGCGAGAAGCATGCGTTTGCTCGTTTGTCTCATGATCTTTGCTGCAGTGTTGATCTCACAAGCTGAAGTTGAAGCTTTCAAGGATGGAACAAAAGGTAACTTTTTCCGTGGTGTTCTTCCTGCTAAGATGAATGCAAGCTTAAAAAGAGTCTCTTTTGTTGCTCACAGTGGATAAGGGTTCTTTGCCAAGGAAGGTTGTGAGGAATTTCAAAATGCTGGTAAGTTCATTCTCAGATCTTTTGAGATGTTTAAAATCTGTGGAGCCTTGTTCTGCACTTGCAGGAAGATAAGAAGTACCATTCAATTCATGTCACTGATTACGATGACCCTTCACACAACACACGGCCATGATAAGAGAAAGAACTCGGACCCCCACTGTCTTTCAACTCCTTGTTCTCCCCTTCGACTATCTTTTGTCCTCGTAACTGAGTTTAACAAAATCAATGTTCAGAATATTCTATGAAGATTTATAATTCTTACATGCTTAAGAATAATCGAAATCCCTAGTAGTATAGTTATGAACTCTTTAAATTCAATATGACATATGATACAGTGGATTACAGTATGTTATATATATAGTTAGTATTAGAAAATAGTATGCAAAGATGGATTTGTTTTTGTCACAACAAGAAATGAATTTACTTAATTTACAATTTTTTGTCCAAAAAAAATATTAATTTTTTTTAAAAAAATATGACATATATTTTTGTTGTAATCATTAATTAAAGCTTATAACTCGAGGAGTTAATACTTTTTGGCTCCATGCCTAAAATAAAATATGAAGATATATTTATATATTTTTAACACATACTTTAGTAGACCTTTCAATATAGTAATTATATATATTATGTAAATTAAATAAATTTTAATATTACTTAATTCAAAATATATTATATAACTTGATAATTTTACTAAATCTTTCTATTGGTATTGATACCAAGATTTCTTTTAGGAAAGTTTTTGAATTTGACGTTTGATGTATTGAATATTTTTTATAATTTTCTATATTTAGAATATTTAATATAAAAATCATTAACTTTTGATTCTGTATATAATAATAATAATGATTATATTAATTTAATTTTGATTTGATCAATAAACAAAATCACTATGGTGATTTGATGTGAATTTGAAGGTAATATTTAAATTTCTTGAGATCACTCTTTACATAAATATAAATAAATAATAATTATTTTTATGCTGTCAGATGGGGTGCTTAATTCATAAAAGTTTTGCTAAATCAACTAAGCTTTAGCCCTTAAATAATAGATTTTTTTTAGATATTTAATTAAATATAACCTTCATATAGATTTTACTTGAAAAAACATTAAAGGTCATATTTATTTAATTATATTTCATCATCTATAAAAAATAAATATCTAAATATTTAAATTTCTAATCTTTAAGAGAACATATTTTATGTTGTTTTTTTTGAAACTAAATAAAAGTAACTCATAAGCAAGAGTTTAATCAAAAATTAGTATTTTAGATTATTAAATTATTTATATTTATTAATATTTAATGAATATCGTCCAAGTACTTTTAATAATTTTTATGTTTTAAAAAATTAAAACTTCTTAGAATCGGTTATCTATTTTAAACATCAATAAATCCTCTATTTTAACTTATTTAAAAGGAAAACAAAATTCTTGAGTTTCTATTGTTTTGGGAGTGTCATCTCCTTCTATCATTGTCTCTTAATCGCCTGCCATCATCATCAACACGGCTCTCCCTTCTCGGAGATCTCTTCCGAGACTCTAAACGATGCCTTTCACCTCTCGACTCGTCGTGTCGATCGTGTTTCCACTTTGTCTCGTCGTCCGCTCCCCATCCAGTGTTCTTGTTCCTCTGAAGAAACAAGTTAAAGAGACAAATGTAAACATCTGAACGATTCAACTCACGTTTTCGTCGTGTGAGAACTTGCAGGAATCGCCCCGGCTACAGCTTCCGCGCTGGAACTCGTAGCAAACACCGTTTTCTTCTCGTTTCTTCTGCCGCTCTTCCTCGTCTTCCTCTTCTTTCTTCCGATACTTTCTCACATGATCCACACGCAGCGTGCGTCCAGCGACTTGAGCTCCATTCAGATTATCTGTGCATCAAATCATCAATCAACCAGAAAGTTTCGGAAAAAATCCAGAGAAACTTACTCACCCACGGCAAGTGTGGTGCTTCGTTGATCTTCGTACGCGAGAAATCCATAGCCCTTTGATTTCCCGGTACCTTTGTCGCGAATTAAATTCACATCCACAACTTCGCCGTACCTATCCCCCCCCCCCCCCCCCCCCCAAACAATCGATAAGAGCGAAGAAGCATAGAGATCTAAACGAAAGAATCACTTACTGTGCAAACACCGCAAGAATATCGCCCTCGTTGAGCTCGTACGCTAGCCCGCCAAAGAAAATGTAGGCCGAATCCTTGTACTCGGCGTGCCAGGATGCAGACTCGGCGATCCCAGACGCACTCTCCCGGGCAGTGATCTTCTGGAGATTCTTCACCTGCGTCAAGGGATTCATCCCTCAAGAACCCTAATTTCAAGAACCCTAACACAAAGGGCAAAAGTGGGTTTATAAGAATATGCGAATCTTAGTTAAAGATTCGCCCTCCACTTTAGCTAACACGTGAGTGACGTACGGCGCGCTCGATCGTGGAGCTTTAAACAAAGGCTAGCTAGAACACGAAAAAAAAGAGACTAGAACGCGGCTAGCGCGAAGTCAAATAAATGAAAATGGAGGAGCTTCTCATTGTTTGTTCCTTGGATCTTCTCATCTTTCGTATAAGATCATGGCAGCGCAGCAGCGTTTACTTGCGATCATTCTCTTGGCGATCCTGGTGGGAATTTCGCTGCTAGCAAATTCCATCTCTGGAGCTGAAGCTCGTCCACTGGATCATCAAGGTCTGTGTGAACTTTTCACAATGTTTTCCCTTGAAGATCTTCCATACTTTGTTCTTCCCAGACGATCACTATCGTTCTCTCGTCGAGGAAGACGGGGACTACGCACCGACGTCGAACCAGAGAGATTTCCAGAAGAGCCACGGACCTGTGTCTTCCAAACATCCTGGAAACTAGAGAGTAAGCTCTACACTGTGTCCATCCAGTACCTGGTTTTTCCTGTGAAAATCTATGTAGACTATTTCTTCAAGTGTTCTACAGTCCCAATTCCCTCTCAAAGTCGTCGTCCTCTTCAAAGAGTTTGATGAAGCGAGCCTGCTGTTCTTCGCGTTTCTTCTGCTGCCACTTCGTGTAGCCGACGATGCCGAGACCCGCGACCATGAGAAAGCTAAAGAGGGCCACCAGCGCTGTGATCGCTGCTCTTCCATGGCCGGAAGAGGGAGCTTGAGGCTCGTCATTGCTAGAACCTGAGTCTGGAGCGTCTAGCAACAAAACGAAAGGAAAGTCATACAAGGAAAGCAAGCAAAGAAGGAAGAACTCTCACCGAGCGACTGAAGAAACGTTGCATTGAATTCACCCTTTTTGAAGTGGAAGTACCGGCCACTCTTGTCGAAATCGTCTGGGCAGAGCTCCCACTCGTCGAAAACGCCGTCTTTGAGGAACTCGTTCTTCTCATACACTCCACACCGCTTGCATCTCACACCGACGAGCGATGTAAGTGGCTGAAGTAAATAAAATAGACTTGGATGAGAACTCTAGAAAAGAAACGATCGAAGCAAGCAGAAAAACTATCGAGACTAAAACTTGGATGAGAACTTTCGAAAAGAAGCGATGATCATCGCAGCAAGCAAAAAAAAATCGAGACTACACTATTTGGAGCGAGCAAACTTACTTGCCAGGATTCATGGCCAGCAAATTTGTAAATCCGGTCCTTCTCCTTCACATCGGGCAAATCCACCTTGTTCTCGTCCCTACACTTGAAATACAAACTCGGCTTGTGCCCCAGCCATTCGTGCGTCCGGAAAATCGCTAGCGATTCTAGAGTAACATTCTGCGCAGAGACTCCTACACAAGAAAATCAACAATCTCGCCTAGAAATCGCCAGAACTATCCATCATACGCACCTAGGCAGCAGCTGATGATCTCCAGCGCGCACAGCGCGATCCAGCAGCGAAGAGCACCCATTCTCCTCCCAAACCCTAATTTCCCCGATATATTCTTTTAATATTCTTTAAGATTCTATATGAGCTGCCGCCTTGGCATTTGGCCAGCGTTTAGGGTTCCTCGATGGAGCCATCGCCGACGATGCTGGATCCTGGCGTGGGAGTTCTATCCCCGGGCGTGGCTTCGGGCGCGGGGATCACATCCGGATTCCCGCAGTGCGTCGCGGCGACGAGCGCTGGCGCGGGATTCAAGCAGAACGTCTTCATCCTCCGCCACGGCGAGCGCCGGGACGATGTCGACAAGGAGTGGCTCGCGAATGCGTCGCGTCCCTGGGATCCGCCGCTCACCGATGCGGGTAAGAAGCAGGCCTGGAATGCGGGGAGGAAGCTCCGGCTCGCGGGATTTGAGATCAACAGAGTTTTGATCTCCCCGTATCTTCGATGCGTCCAAACGGCTGCCGAGGCGATCATGGCGCTTTGCGTGAATCAGACTGATCTGGGGAACGATAGCAGCACTGGAGTTGTGATTGATCCCTCCAAGGTGAAGGTAAGCAAGCAAGAACTTTTCCTTTCTTCTCTCCCTTGTGCTTTTCGTCTCAAACTTTTTTCTTTTCTTCCTTGAGCTGCCTCTTGTCTTTCTGGGAGTGCTTGATCTCAAACTTTTGCTTTGTTTTCCATAGGCTTCGATCGAGTTTGGTCTCTCGGAGGTCATGAACAGCATTGCTATAAGATTTCCACGCTCCTCTCCGGATGTTCCTTGGATACTTGATCTTGGCGAACTCCAGTCACTGCTGCCCGCTGGAACTCTGGATGCAGTGGCACAGTCTATGTGGCCACAGGTACTGTTCTTTCGCTTTTCAAGGAGAAAAGAATTGATTTTTTCGTCCTTTTAGCTGCCAGAATGGCCAGAGGAAACCGAGGCTTCTCATGTGAGATACGGGAAAACTTTCCGAGCGGCCGCTGATAGGTTCCCCGGAGAGAACATCCTGTGCGTTACACACGGTACTTTTCTATTCTTCTTGGCCCTGTCAACCGAGAAACGATAAGATCACGCGAAGAACTTTTCGTGTTTCTCATCATTGGTTTTGGTTTTGCTTGCTTCCAGGTGAAGGAGTCGCAGTTTCGGTGTCCCACTTGCAGCCAGTGCTGGTCTACGGCGTCGACTACTGCGCTTGCTCGCACTGGCAACGCACAGTCCGAGAGATCGATGGAAAGCTGAGCGCTGGCGAGTTCGAGCTTCGCACGGAGCCGCTCGAGTCGGGTGTTTTGTTCGGGGACGTTTTCAAAGAAGTTCCCGCGTAGAAGAGCATACAAAAATACTTGTACGATATTGGAATGGAGCCACGATTCCAAAGAATAATCTCGTGAACTTAATTACAAAGAATAATCTCGTGTTCTTGAAAGAACCAAGTTTCCAGGAAGTAAAGTTTACTCTCTTTTAGTGGAAAGTTACGTTATAATCCATCAACGTAACAGCCACGGCAGCGTGAGAGCGTCCGTCCACGACGTGAATCGTGGAATATCGAAGAGTTATTTTCAGCATTCGAGGCAGAGAGACGACTATGGTGAAGAAGCGATGGGTCGGGAACTCGGTGGTGATCCTTCTCCTGGCACTCTTCTTCTTCCGAGAGATCATCGTGGACACTTTCTTCCCTCTTGGCACCTGGACGAGGACGAGTTCTTCCACAGACCCTTCACTCCTGATCCAAAGGTCTGCTGCTCTTCCCGTAGCTCCAGTCCCGCTGAGACAAGCCTTCGCAGGAAGAACTCTCAACGTCTCCGACCGTGTTCTAGAGCTAGCTCCTCCGGGGATTAGAACAGAGTTCGAGGAGAACAGGAACGTCGACGGCTATGGACTCACAGTCGTCAGAAACGCTTGCTTTCTTCCTGGAGGAGAGATCGTGTTAGTAAACATCACAGACGAGTACCTCAACCAGACGCTCTCGGCATCGCCCAAGCTCCAGGAACTCTGGAGCGCCGGTTACAATTCCACTTGCGGGTGGTGCCAGAAGACCGGTTCGCAGCTCTCGCCGGAGGCTCCAGAGGGCGCTCGGTGGATCCCCGGGAACACCACCCACATCCTTCCATACTTGGGGAACGTCTTCCACAACTTTGCCGAGCGGATCTGGCCACACCTGGCGTCGCACCACCCCCCGCTCAACCAGACAGCCATGCAGCCGATCAATCACTTCCTGATCCACAAGTTCACCACCTGGATCGAGCAGGCCGACGCCGGAAACCACGAGCGCGAGAACTTCATGCTCCAGTTCCGGGTACTGGCCGAGCTCTCCCCCGGCTCGGACTTCGTCGTCATGGACTCGGCCGGCCAGAACCACCCCGTTTGCTTCGAGCGGATCACACTGTCTTGCTCCTCCTGCGACCGGATGTCCACCACCCTCGGCCACCAAGTCTTCTCGGCCTCCATCACCTCGTACCGCGAGGCCGCCTTTAAGTTCTTCGGCGTCCCGGAGCCAGCGGTCTCGGCTCCACCCCGGCCACTAAGAGTAGCGTTCTACGGCCGCAGTGACACGAGAAGACGTCGAGTAGCAAACGCTGGCGAGGTGATGGAACACCTCCGAGCTTGGGACAGTCCACCGCTTGATATCCTCTTCCTGGACGAGCTTCTTTCGGACAAGCGTTACAACCAGACCATGCCGGAGGCGGTGGCGCTCTTCTCACACACCGATGTGCTCGTCACTGTTCATGGAGCGAATACTTGGGCGACTATGTTCATGCCACGCCGTGCTGCTGTGATCGAGATATACGGCCCCTGCGGCCCCGGGACTTGGATCGACAACGTCGCGAGAGCTCTCGATCTTAAGCACGACACGACGTCGAATCCATGGCGAGACAAGGTGGCCTCTCCTCTGGCTGGAAACACCACCCAGTGTGAGGGAGCTATACAAACTCCAGACTTCACCTTGGATACGATCAAGCTGGACGAGGCCATCGCAAAGTTGGCGCTGCCTACGGGGCCCTTGGATCGGATTCCACTGCACTGGTTATACGACTGGAAGAAACGAGCGTACGCTACTCACTTGGTGGAGGGGTGACTAATCAAAGACGAGTTCTTTCGTGGTTTTCCTGAAAGCAGCCATTCTTTCAATAAAGTTAACATCCAGATCTCAGGAAACGTTACCCATCGAAGTAGCTCTAGGAAGAACACTCAAAAAGAAAAGTGTGAGAGAGCATGAAAAAAACCAGAGTGTTCACAGGCACCACACGCTGTCACCAACAAAAAAAGAGCAAAAACACCGTCACCTCTTTACTGGAAGAAAAGGAAAACATGCCTGGACTTTTCGAAAGAAATTCTTTTTTTCTTTCTTTGATCAGCTGCTAACGCAGCGGTAGAGACCACTGCTCAACACGAGTAAAGCACCGGTTGCGAAGTGTCAGTGCTTCGGGGGAGCGATAGATGCCGCCCGACGAGAAATGGCTCGTGCATGACGATATATGCTGCGTTGAGGCTGCACGGAACGCAAAGTTAGAGAACACTCAAAGTTCATGGATATGGCTTCTCTACTCACGTATCAATGTCGGGTGGCGTCAAGGGATCGAAAACCTCGTTGTTAGGATCATACATTGCATACGGATCGCCCTGGCAGTGGCAGAGAAAAACTTAAATCAAGCAAGAACAATGTTTTTCGCATTTACCGGTTGCATATAGCCTCCATATCCTTGGTAGCCTTGATATCCAGCATAACTATACGTAGAGTCTTGGCCTTGTGTGTATCCATAGCCATCGTATCCATATCCATAATAGCCCTGAGATGGATCACCACCCCATCCAGCGGGATACTGTCAGAGAAAAATTATTTAGAAGAAGTAAAAACACCGAAGAAGAAAAAGAAAAACATCTGAGAAACCTGTTTATTTGCGGTTCTCCCCCACGACAATCTGATAGCTTGCTGCCTGATCATGGTACCATGAAGTTTTCCTAATGCTTCCTCGGCGCACGATCTGACAAACGAGTAAAAGGTTTTCTCTCAATACAAAGCTTGCAAGTGTCGGCAGTGCTACCTGTGAGTAAACTGGACAAATCCACAGCCTTTCCCCGGAGGTATCTTGACATAAACAAGCTCGCCAAACTCACCAAAAGTTTTCTGGAGCTCCTCCTCGGACACTGCGGGGTCCAGACCACCAACAAATATCTACCAGAAATAAAAGAGGAAGCATTAGAAAAGTGCAAGAGAGAAAAATTCTGCTGGACTCACGGTTGTGTTGTTCGGATCATTGTCGTTTGGCACATTCTGTAGAGGTGAAGTCGCAAAAGTGGTCACTGAAAAAGAGAGAGACGAAGAAAAAAGCTGTGAGCTACGTTGATAGAAAACGAAGAAACTCTCACCTTTTTGTGGAGCTGGCGCGCTCGGGATCAAAGCCTTCTTCGGAGTAGCTGCATTAATCCGCATGGGACGGCTGGAGCAGTAGATCCCATTCATCTCGGACATGGCCCGGACCCTCTCCGAGTCGTCGGCAAAGCGGACGAATCCATAGCCTTTGGAGCGCCCTGTGGCGACGTCAGTGACGACTTTAGCACCTCTAACAGACGGGTACCGCGTTCTAAACGTCTCCTGGAGCATATAGTCGGTCACGTCGGGTGCCAGGTCGCCGACGAAGATGGAGTTCTCGGGGCCTCCCTCGGGGCGGCGCTCGCCAATCCCAAAGTAGGCCCAGTTGAGGCGGAAGAGCTGCTCGGTCTGCGGCATCTGGGTGCCCGTGAACGCCGTCAGCACCCTCTCGGCGCATGCATGCGACGCAAACTCCACGAATCCATACCCCTCGGGGAAGCCCGACGCCTTGTTCCTGATGATCTTGGCGCTCACCAGCTGCTAGAGCAAGAATGCCGAGCGACGCGGTGCCACAAGCGCCAAGAAGAGCGAAGGATTTAGCAAAGGAAAGAAAGGGAAAACGAAAGAAAGAAGGCGATCGATGCATTCTTACCTCGCCAGTGCTGCTGAAGATGGAATTGAGGTAGCTCTCATCCATCCAGTACTGGAGATCGCCTACCCACAGCGTCTTCATGTCGATCGGCGGCTGCTGGCTCCATTGCTGCGCGCTCGCGTCGGGCGAATGCATCTCACTGACTGACCTAAAAGCACCCCTTGACCTAAAACGTTAAAACCAAACGAGAAATAGGGAAACGGAAATGAAAAATGCTCTATCTTTTTACTATATTTTTATAGAGATTGAAAACAGATATTTAGTAAAGAAAATTTATAAATATATATTAATTTAATTAATTAATATAATATATAAACTATTTATTTGAAAATGAATATGGTCCATTTATTCTTGTTTATAAGCAAAAGTCTAAACCTTAACTAATATATCTATTAATCAATTACATTGGTGAAAGTAAGGGATAATAAGACAAAGTTTTTTTAACAATATTTTCCTTGATGCTCAAGATTGTGCCTTTTTTTTATTATTTTGTTCTAGATTTATGTTAGTTTTTTGTTAAATCTAGAATTATAATTATTAAATCTATTATTCCTTTTCAATCTTAATTACATTTTTTTCCTACATCATACCATGTCATCATCAATCAAAAAGTATATCACTTAAGACTATTGATGTTACTTCATTAGATCAAGGTTTTAATATTATGGGGTGTGATTATATTAATATTTTACCCAACCTTGATGTATTGCTATTATCATTTTATATGGGATGTGATTATATAACATTTTTTATTCTTGATGTCCTACTATCTTTTATTGATGTTGAGTATGATTATAAATTTTAATGGGACTCACAACCAGAGAAATGCACCCAATTCAAAACTTTGGTAAAAGTGATTCAACCTTTGAATAGGGGAATATTTAATGCTAAAATTGATCAAACACTAATAAAAAAAAAAGAAATATTATTTTCTTTATATAATCTTTTCTGACCTTTTCATTTCTCATGTGTTTTTTTTTTCTTCCTCTTCTACATCATTTCCTTTTCCTATCATATCAATTGTTTATGACTTTTATAACATTCTTAGTTTGTTGTTGTGTGTTTTGTGTTCTCTTCATACTAATTTAGATGTTAAACATAATTAATTGCAAAGTTATGAATGGAAAATATTTAAAGATTGAACTTATGGGAAGATAATGTATATTAACTCAAGTGGATTTTTAATATTGATAAATTACTTCAAAACGATAATAATCAATTGAAGACTTTATAGAGTAAGTGTCAATTTTTAAATTTATTATATGATTCTTTCTTTTTGCCTTCTACATTTTTATTTTACTAGTGCTACTAAAAAGTTCTTTTATTCACTTGAGAATGTGGATTTTTTTTAATTTTCCCATCTCAAGTGTTGAATTTGATGTTTAGAAGGTTGAGTGTGTAAATATTTATTTTATAAACCTTTATTATCCAAATTTTTTGCTTAGATGGAATTTTTTATAAGAAAAAGTCCCTTATTAAGCTTTTAAAACTTATATGAAATAGATTTATTTTTAGCTAAGAAAAAGTCAAAATAATTATTATATACCTCAGTAACTTGTTATGCTTTTCAAAAATCCTTCAGCTTTTCTCATATCTTAAAAGAACTTCACATCCAAAAGAACATAAAAATAAAATTTTTAAATTCATAAATTTAATAAAAAGGATTTTAATTATGTTTTGCAATTAACTCCTTTATATATTGCATCTCAACATAACAATTGTTAAAATGCTTCAAATTTTACAACACAACCATTTACTCATGTGTACCTTAAAAATATATAAAATTCTAACCTAAAAACTCTTATGTTAAAACTTTATAAAGAAAATAAAAGCTTTCTTTTCCTTTTAGTTAAAAGTTGGTTGGCTAGCATACATTTTTTGAAGTATTTAAAAACCCACTATTCAAAAAAAATTTAAATAGTTTTTAAGGTCTTGTTTTGCATTCTTTGATATTCTTTAAAAAATTAAAAAGGTTTTAATTCTCTTTTTGTTGATCTTTAAGAGTATATTAATTGCTAAAGTGTTAAACCTAACAGAAAATATATTTGTGTTACCCAAAAATTTTATATATATTTTTTGATAACTGGACTTAGGATTTGAAGCCATAGTTAGTTGAAAACTAAATACACAATAAATCCCATTAATCACCACTTCTTTAATGGCATTTAGTATTTCATGAACTTTATTTATAGGAAAATGCAAAATCATTTCACTTCCCCCTTCAAACTTTTTATAGTTGAATTTTTTATTAAAAAATTTCAATTAAATTTGGGAGCAAAAAGTAAAAATTGCATATCCAAATAAAACATATTTTTTTTACTAGTTAGATTGTCACATCAATGCTAAAGTGTATAATTTAGCACAAAATACATTTTTATTGTAATCTAAACCACTTTAAAAATTTTATATGTGTATTTTGATAAATGAATTTGGGATTTAAAGACACAGTTATTTGCCAACAATGCATATAGTAAACCCCTTTAATTACAACTTCTATAATGGTATTTAGTGTTTTTTGAACTGTATTTGTAAGCAAATGAAAAATCATTTCACTCCTTCCTTCAAATTTTTTTTAATTAAATTTTTCTTTAAAAACTTAAATTGTTTTTGGTTTCCAAGCCTAAACATTTAGGAGCATAAAACAAGAATTGCACATACAAATAAAATATATTTTTTTTAATAACCAGTCTGTTACATTAGTGCCAAGATGTCTAATATAACACAAAATATATTTGATTGTCAGCTAAACATATATCAAACCCTATTAATTACCATTTCTTTAATAGCATTTAATGTTTCATGAGTTTTATTTATAAGAAAATGAAAAATCATTTTATTTCTACTTTCAAATTTTTTTTAGTTGAATGTTCTTTTTAAAACTTGAATTGTTTTTGTTTTTCAAGCCCAAGTTTCAATTAAATCTAGGAGCATAAAGCAAAAATTGCACATCCAAATAAGACACATTTTTTATACTAACTAGCTTATTACATCAGTGCCAAAATGTCCGATCTAACATAAAATACATTTATATTGCCCTCGAAACTATTCTAAAAATTTTATATATGTATTTTGATAAGTGAACCCGGGATTTAAAGTTATAATTAATTAACAAAACACATAGTAAACTCTATTAATCACCACTTTTCTAATGGTATATAATGTTTTATGAGCTTTATTTTTAAGCAAAATAAAATCATCTCACTTCCCCCTTTAAGTTTTTTTTAGTTGAATATTTCTTTAAAAACTTGAATTGTTTTCATTTTCCAAGTTTAAAGTTCAATTAGATTTAGGAGCATAAAACAAAAATTACAACAACAAAATTGCATCATTTTACATTTAAATTGTTATATAGGTTTATACAACATTTTGTAAATAGTTGTGAATGATATATGAAGTTTTTCTATGATTGAAAATGCATCCCATATTATCTCTAAATGGAAAATAAATGCTCAACTAAATTAATATATTTATTATTTGAGAGCTTGGGATGGGCATAATGTAAGGGATTTTTGTTGAAGGCTCAAATAGGAGATTCAAATGGTAAAAAGTTAAGAGGAAAAAGATACAACATGTTTACAAAGTTTCAAAATAATTTAATAATGAATATTGAAGATTTATGGCTTAAAAGTTTTAATAAATTTCAAATTTTGAGTATCACTTACGAAAAATAATGGGGGAAGGAAACAACATTTAAAAAATCTCATTAAAAATGAATGAAACACCATAGGAGTAATAAAATAACATTTTAGTGGTAACATTTGCAAATACTTCGATTAACATTTGGAAGATGAAAGCAATGTTTGGAAAGAAAAGTAACATTTTTGGAAAATGTGCACACAACACTTGGATGAAGGAAATACTTAGAAAGGATGCAACAGAAGCAACACTTGGTAAGTATACAATAACACTTGGATGGATGTAACACTTGGTGAAAATGCAACACTTGATAGCAATATAAAGATGGAGGAAATACTTGGTGAAGATGTAACCTTTAGTGGTAATATAAAGATGGAGGAAACACTAAGATGCAACACATTTAGAGCAACAATTTGATATAACATTTGGTGGCAACACTTAAAGGTAACACTTGGAAGTAACACTAGAATGCAACACTTGGAGCAAACTTAGAGGCAACATTAAGATGAAACACTTGAATAAGGCAATACTTGAAATAATAGGTAGAGATGAATAAATGTTGCATGTATAGGGGATTTGTATATTTCCTTTTCAATACTAGATTTGGAGGAAATTTGTGATATTTTTCTAGTCTCTATGGCAAAGTTAAAACTTTTTCGAAAATGAGCTAGCATACTTATCCCATATAGGAATGTAACACATATGATCATGGGATGAGATTTAAATATATTATTACCATGGATCTTTAAAACTTTGGAGGATAAATGAGGATAAAATAACCATTGTAAAGGCTTTGTTATCAAGCAATTACCTCTTTTCCAATTAACTTAAGAGAAGAGAGATAGGGGGTGTTACATGTGGTATCAAAACAAATGGCACATGTTTAATTCTTATTGATTAATGGCTGTTTAAATATAATATACTCTTAAGGAGCATTCACGGATGAAGTTATCTACCATGGGATTGCGGTAAGGGAGGGCAGGGAGACAATGAGTGTAGTGTATGTGATCATAAGATGGTTTGTTTTGAGTTCACTTAATTTAAATCTAAGAGTTGCAATTACATCATTATTAGACATCATTTTGGCACTAAAGGCACCTTAGTGGTGGAATGCTCTATAATGAATTTCACATGTCATAGAGCATAGTAGGTGATTTCAAGTTTTGTTGTGAAATCACTTGAAAGTTAAATGACTGAAGAGCTATATTAAGCATTTATGTTTGTAGTTTCACTAGTTTCATTTTGTGGAAGTGTTTTCTGGATGTTTTATTTAGTCCCTATGAAACATTGGGGAATATACATATACATTTCAACAAATATGCGGGATTCTACCAAGCATTTCCACCAATTGATTTTTGTCAAATTCGTCACAAAGAGACTGATATGTACAAAAATGATTGGTTTTAATATTTCATTCATGACCTTTCCACCATCAATAATGAAAAAGATTGTTTCCGACAACCTTCTAACCCATTCAGTTATTTTGTCCATGTCCTCTTGAATTCTAGCAAATAACTCAAGCTTTATTGGATCATGGAGGAAT